AGTCCCCCTTAAGTAGATAGAATATGGGGTATATTATCGCCAAAACCCCCATTGTACAGGCACCCTGGCAGGGTCTGTGAGGTAGGACTGCTGTCGGACACCTCAACTTCTGGCCCAAACCCCGTGTGGTGGTCCTTTTGCTTCGAAAATTCAAAAACCAAACTGAACGTACCAACTCCTAGGAGCTTGCATTCCGAAATCCGACAATTTCTCCCAATTGCAAGATACGATAATTCCAAACTGCAACTGGCAATGTTTGAGAAAATCAAATGGGATTACAAGACCTGGACGGGCGTTTTTGGGCGTGATTTTGAATTTGTGAATGTTACTTCTCTTGTGCAGTTGTGGAACTTCTGGGTGCTGGACATGCTTTGTTCGTTCAGGTCTGGAAGTTTTGGACTTGTTGGAATTTGAAACTTCAGAATCCCAAGACTTAGCTCGTTCAGCTTCGGAATGTGGTGAATTTCGCGTTCAGAGCTCTCGAATTTAGCTTTGTTATTCTTCTGGAGTTGTCTGTGGATTTCGCTGTCCCTGTTTCCAAGTTCTTGGGGCTACCAACTGCAATGTTGAATGTGCCTGAAACTATCCAACAAATTAGGTCCATGGGGGGGTGCCAATTATGTGTATACATATACACCTATCTAAATGATTGGTATTTGCAGAGGGAACCCTGGTACAAACTCTGACCACGAATGTTCCCAAGAAAGCCTGCATACTCTGACACACACCATACTGAAAACCTGAAAACCCTCTAACATCTATATGGTCCATCCCTACATACAACTCCCCAAGAGAATGCCGCCAAGCCATGAGAAACCCTTCCTCGGCTTTGGCAAGGATTACCCCGTGAGCCTGGGCTTGGTTTCGGAGCAGCCCACATCGTTGGCAGCTTCATGCTAAAGCTGCACTCCACCAACACCTGAACTCCTCGGCTGCTTCATGTCAATGCAGACCCATGTTTTTCAGGACAATAACATGGGCTCTTTATATGGGATCCTGAAAGTACGAGGTTACAAAACATGAGGTGGCCCTTTCAGGATATGCCGTTGAGGCGTTTGAGGGGACAATTTCAATCTGGGGGCGTGGGGCACTTACGCGAGACCTTGCCCCCCCTCCTTATCCATAGGAACCCGGCGGGGAAGCCCTATGTTTATCATACACCTTCAACACTCTGTTCCCCAGGAACCCCAGCCCGGTACTGACTATACCTTATGTAGGGCAAGGTTTCTCGTTCAGAAGAATATTTTAAACTCTTAAACCATTATTGAACCTTGGAGTCCTTGGTCTCAGGTGAACCATATTTTGTTCTGCGTTCTCTAGATAGTCCATGTACTTATTCAACTCGCCATGTGTGATAGTGTGCTTGATGAAACGCCTGGCTAAGACAAGGCCCATCGGCTGGTACAGCATACCTCTCCCTCGGGCAACAATGTTCGTAGGGTTTAGGGTTTAGGGTATGATGTCCAAATTGTTGGCAGCCGCAGTCGGGCGGTCAAAGTGATACGACAGCTCCAAAAACCCTCTTTAGCAAAAGGGCAACGCTGTGAATCAAAATCCCTTTTGTTGTATGCCTGTTTACTCATACAACCGCATCATCAATTTCTCGTTTCTGACTTTATGCCCATCATACCGTTGTCCAAGACTTTCATGTGCTTCGTCTTCTCTGTCCCTTTTACATCAGTCTGAATTAAAAACAAGTACGGTGTATACGATTATAATTGCCAAAGTCCTCTACTAATTGGTTGTCACCTGGAAATGTCCTTGTACAAAGGAAAATGTATGGAGTGACTCAGATTAAACCAAATGCTCTCTTCCGTGCTTATAAGATTACGAGATGAGGGGCGCTATACATTAGGGAAACACTACGGGCGTCATTATGTAAAAGTTTTCATCACCGCATTTATGACTAGATTGCTGATACTCGGAAACACATCTCCCCCAGCACAGGCAACTTGATTCCATTTTGCTTCTGTTAAATTGCCATATTTAGTGCTAATCTACTCCGCCAGTTGCAGCTCTCCGCCTTGTTCTAAATACTCTTATTGTATCTCTTCATAGCTGCTCTGCATCAATTCATGACATTTCGGTTTCTTCTCCATCTTTTCATGGGACACCTCTTTATAAACAAACATGAAAATCAAATTCACCCAAAAATTCAGTTCTTGTCTAGCTGTTTACATCGGCCATTCCTTCAAAAGAAAGCCTGAACAAAGGGTCTGAACCACCTCTTTTTATCAATGGTTATAGCTGTACTGTCAGAGGCACTAGCAATATCACCTGTTCCTTTCATTGTTAACTTAGTCCCAACGCCTTCGGTTTTCTGAATGCTCCAATCATCATCTTCATTTGTTTGCGCATTACCGACGGAGCATAAATTGAGACTTAGAATGTCTATTGTGCCTGTATTGTTGAACGTGTTTGTTAGCTTATGCGTTTCTGCCAATCTTGTGTTGCGAGGCAGTGACGTCAAATCATCCCATCATCAGATATGACGTCTTGTGATGATTGTGATGATCTTGTTCCCGCTGTGTTACATTCAACATGGAAGCATTTTGGGATGACCCTTGTAGGCTTTCAAAGCAAACCTTGGACTTTAGCATCCGTTTGAATGTTTCAATTCCCACTAGTTCTTCACTGGCTTCGCTTTGTATCTTAGCTCTTGTGATTTGTATGGCATACATTCACCCCTTGTTCTGTTCTGCGTTTATGCGTGAGAGAGGTTTTGACGTATTGCCAACAGATTCCCGCAAGGGATTATACATTTGTTAAAAGTTTAAAGTCGGCGACACTTCATCAAATCTCAGTGTTGACCAGCCAGAGAGAATTCAGCTAGAACAAAGTATGTTGTGTCAAATACACGAGGAATGCATTCCCCGTTCTTGTAATCAACAGATAAGGCGGCTCATGGCCAATGATGCTAATGATCGAACATGTGTTAATGTTGCACACGAAGAGACAGGGCCTTGGACAACCCGTGTAATTGATTACTTTTACCGAGGGATGTTACACAGCCTCTAACTTACCAGGCCATTTACGAGTCACGTGAAGCAATTATGATGTGCCAGGCATGAAATTCGTCATGTGACTCGGGGTTTGTTGGCTTGCAAAGGGTGAAAAGCTTGTACTTACATATATGGCAACGAGATAAGCAACTATGATCAGTTGACAGTAGCTGCTTCAAAAATACATGAAATAGTCCGCTATCTTGGGGTATTAACATCAATGAGCTTAGCTCTGTTGATTATTCTGTATCCTGATGTGGCGGGGACATGTTCTGTAGATTAAGTTTTTCACAGTAAACGACCACCTCAGCCAAAGTACGTGTTTGAATGGAGTAGACATATCTTCCACCACAATATTTTAGAGTATATGGAACCCCTTCATGAGGAAAGCAAAAAGTTAAGATGCTAAGTCTCAAGCTGCTAATACCGTTGTTCAAGAAACCACTCAACCAGAACCTCTGCAAGAAGAGCAGACACAACAAGAAGAAGCAGAGCACACGCGCAACCGAAAGCGCACGCTTTCTTTCAAAACTTGCTGCGGTAGTTGCCATTAAATGCAAACTAGAAGAGGATGGTGAACAAGCTGGAGCTATCGAGGGCATAGATATAATGGTGGAGACGCCAGCTCTCATCCACTCCGATCATGCTATGAGGGTAGCTTAAACAATGACATATTTTAGACAAGTGCCTAGGATGAAAGGGTAGAAATACACAGGACCCGAACAAATCGTGAATGTGCAGAAAGTGCTTTACCGACCTTGAACATTCTTTGGTCAGAAGACGTCGAGAGTTCGGGCTGGTGAGAGAAAGGAAAACCAACATTCGATGGACAATTCATTTTGGAAATGATGACTGCGTATGATAATAAAGTGGTTCAGTCTGATGCTGATACTGGTTTAACACGGCGAGGGGCTAGGAAATGTAAGAATGAAGTAACCCTTAGAGCGAACATCCCCATGAATGCTACAGCAACAACGGAAATCCGGATTAAGATGTCAAAGATAGTCAGGCGGAGATATGTAGTTTTACAGAAACAAAAGGCTGTTGAATTGGAATGAAAATACTTTATCGTTGGGAATACCAGAAACGGTTTGGGACAACAACACCAGCATGTAAATGGGCGTGGCTATCTACGCCACGAATCGCTGAAAGAGCGAACCCCGTACAGTTTGCAGAACTTTTTGGTCCTATGGCTCAACTTGTTTTGTTGGTAGAGGGTTTAGGGTTTAGGGTTTAGGTGAGCTTCTTTGTGTTTTCTTTGGCTATACGCTCACGACCCTACAAAACTACCCCGCAAAGCCCCAACCCTGGAAATCCTAGTTTCCATTTTCGGTTCCATTATCCCAATATAACCCCAACATACACCCATTTGTAGGATAATAGTTTCCATTATTTCCATTAACCCCAATATAACCCCAATATATAGTCTATTATTTTAAGGTAGTTTCCATTTCATTTTCCATTAACCCCAATATGACCGCAATATATACTCTATTATATTATAGTAGTTTCCATTTTATTCTCCATTAAACCCATCAAAACCCCAATATAACCCTGGAAACCCAGAGTTGGCCCATGGCTTCTGGAAGTTGATGTCCCTCATGTCCTGCTCGCCTGGCGAGAGTCAAGATGCGTTAGGGGCAGTATATGATAGTATGTTGTAATAAAATAGAAAAAATTATCGTATCTCATAATCTATCATAGTATATTCGAGTAGAATCTAGTATGATATAATGTTGGGTTCGCAGCTTGGACTTGCGAGCAAAGGTTTTGGAAGGTATTCCTCCCCCAGCAGCTTCTGTAGGATCTACAGTACTGGCTGTGGTCCGTTCTGAATCGTTTGCTCAGAACATCGTTGACATGAAAGCCCTGGCTAGGCATTCTTTGCATATGCCATCTTTAAACAGCCTTGGCAGGGCTGGTAAGGCTGCTGGACTGTACAACACACCATGGGCACGCATCCGTGCACAAACTCCTCGAAGAAGAGTCTTCGAATGATCAGGGCAGGATCTCTCGGTGCTCACGGCTACCCTGAGCCTGGGCGGCTTTGCAAATCTTCGTGGTGTTGAAGTTAGACTGAGACATGAAGATGCTTTCTTTGCAGCACTGCTCATACCTCTCTGTGCCGTCACATGGTGTGAACTCGCTGCAACCCGGCCCGCAATCCCGACAACGTCCTTTCACGCACCTCACCACGTCGTCGATGGCTTGCTGGAAAGCGTTCTTGCAAAGGTACGGCTGCGGCGCTTCTTGCTCGGTCTCCTGGCAACAGGGAACCCAAAAGGAAATTTCGCAAAGATCGCACGTGAAGGAGACATCCCCGATAATCCATCCAGTACTTGCGTGAGCACAGCCACATTTCCGTTCGAGACACACGGTCGCTTCCTGGTCCCATTGACAGGTCTTCAGAGCATCTCCCTGGAGGCCTGCACATCGGCAGATGAGCGAAGGATTGCTGACGTTGTGCTGAGCGCAACAGGTGGCGATGTGAGCTGAATCCTCCTGACACAGCTGGCATGCCTCCCCAGAGCAGCCCTTGCACTCAGTATGTACGCAAGCCTTCACACCCTCCACCATGGCAGCGGTGTTGCACATGTCGGGCGGCGCTGTCCCGTTCTGGTAGTGCTTTTGGCAGCAGTCGCGGATTTTGCCTGTGTCCCTTCTGCATATCTGGTAAGCCTCACCAGAATAGCCGTGACAGCTGGTCCCCATGCAAGTCTTGACTTCTTGCTCCCAAGCGCATCTCTCAGGGTCACTGGCTAATTCGAGCCCTTCGCAGTTAAGCCTGGCAGAAACGGGCGTGGCCAGGAGAAGCAACAAAGACAGCACCGCCATCAACGCACAAGAGGAGCCTGACTCTTGGGAGTCTGGCAGGGCCCAAGAGTCCCAGAGTCAAAGGTTTAGTCGAACGGGTGACTTCCAGTAATGCGGAAACTTGAAACAAGAGTGGCTACAGGAAAAAGGTGCTTTTGAACTGCCTCATGCCCACGCACTTTTCAAATCTCAAGTTGCAGTCATGTGCAAGGCATTACGCAAGCGAGATGGGAGCACCTGCATGAAGTTGCCCATCTTGCTGTTGTCCACTATTTTCTTAATCAGTAGAGGACCAGGTGGTTCAAAGGGTAGGCATTAAGAATGTCCCTTGCAAGTCAGAGGGTGTTGAAGGCTGCTAGGTTAGGATTCGAATGGTTCTAGAATGGAATCTGTGATTATTTTGGTTCAGGAGTTATTGGGCCGGGCTTCACCGCGGGTTCCCATAGATAGTGGGGTGCCCATGGCACCTGGGAGATAGGGATGTGTGGGAGCCAGAAAAACAGTCCCCAACGGGAGGCTATCTGCGGATGCCTTTGAGAAAATCCCATTTGACTTCAGGCTTCTGCAGTTACCCACGATCTCCATGATGAGTCCGAGGAGAACCTTGGAGTCACCCCTTAGGGAGTGTTTGGCGTGTGGCATCCACAGCTACGCTCCAAGCTACTGTGAGGACAGAACGGCGAGTAGTGTCTCTTGAATGACGACAAAAGATGTTTCATGTTCTTCCTTGGTTTTGGTCTGAGGCTGAGAACTTGCGGGTCATGGGGCTTCTTGCGGTGACACTGTGCCTCAAGTACCGGCCGCCGCACTTCCAGATTACCTGGATTCCTTCGGGGCTCCACATCTTACGTGTGGAAGGGAATCCACTACCTACAAGTCACTCTATCGTCCCCTAAACGCACTAGTCTGAGGCCGAAGCGGTTGCGCTGACAACGACGCTGAGGGCCAGCAAGAAGTAGGGTAACCTGGGCCGCGCATCCGAACACAGACCACAGTGCATGCAAAAGGGTTCCACCTCATCTGAAAGATGCACACCTCTGTGGCTGGGCATGCCAAACCGACCGCAAGTGCTGGCATTTGAGCATAACTTGAGCAAGCGCGTCGACTGGGCAGAGCAATTGGGACTTGGAACTTCAAGCCCAGGACCTAAAACCCTAAACCCGTTTGCATCTGGGCTGCCACAAAACCCTGAATTCCCCTAAAACCATAAACGTCAAGAGCCCTCGGGCCATGCTGTGAAACGCAAAACTTTGCAGACTTGGGCAGACAAGGGACGTGTTTTCAGCGCAGCCAAAGCCTAAAGGCAGAGTGTCCACGCGTTGAGAGATCCATGAGGAGATGCTAAAACAGCCATAATTAGATGACTGCTAATTCTTCAATTATTCTCAATGCCAAGGACCCCAATCAGCAAAGGGAAACTGCACTCGCTCCGAACGCTACGGCACGCTACAAGACGCTTCCACAGAAGCTCAGCAGTGACTCCTCCCGTGCATTCTGCCAAGAAAGTCGCCTTCGAACGTGACTTGAGCACGGTCGGCGCAAACCTGGCAGCATGCGCGGACATGGCTTCCAGCTTCTTCCGTCATCACTGCCATCATCATTTCTATGTTCTCCGGTGCCATTTTGTTGCGGTTACACTTACTTCCCCTAGCTTCTGACAGCAACGAGTGGGGAGGCAGGGAAGCAGTGGCACCTGCCGTCCAGTGTAGGTTGTCACCTCGGCCACCACGGTGAGGGAGTCGCCCGTGCCGAAGTTGGGCTGGCAATCAGCGAGGGCAAAGATCTTACTGGTGGCTAGTTCCGGATATTATGGGCTGGCTGGGTGGTGGGAATTTGAAGTCGACATGCTTGGCAAAGAATCTTCCACTACCTGGCCATCCCAACAGCACTGCCCTTGCCGCAAGCCTTCCCGCCAGTGTGGACACGCAGGCTGCAATGAGCCTGCAGGGCTTCAACATGCTTTCGGATACAGACATTCCATTCTTATGTCACACACTCCACCTCCCAAGAACCCAAGCACAACTGAAAGTTCCAAAAGCTTGTGCCACTCTCGTGCCGAGCCTGATCTTGGCCCCGGCAGGCAATGTCTAAGCAGCTGTGGATTCCTCTGGCACATCCCTGGTTTCTTGCTGAAAGCTGTTTGCCCCATGTCTGCCAAGCACATTACTGACAACATCTCGATGGGTGCAGTGGCTAGGCTGCTAGTAGGCCTCTCCTAGATCCTTCGGATAGCAGCCCAGGCCATGGAAGCCTGAAATCCACAATCCCAAACCCTAAGATGCAGCCCAGCGGTCCACCCTGGCCCAAGGTGGCAAGGCTCACTGCCCCCCAGGAGATGTTCTTGCCTAGGCTTTGCTTGGAGGGAAGTTTTGTCTACTCAGTCTAGTGGTTGAAGGGGGGGCGGGTGTAGAGCCCAGGGATGCTCAGATCTTGGCAATCTAAGCATTGGTGCAAGCGGTCAATGCAGAAGGCTACCCTTTTGCCTTGCGCTGTCTTCCAGTGAGAGTGTCTGCGCGTCAGGCAATGTGTTACACATGCAGCGACAGGCAATGGCCTGGATAGCCATCACGGGCTGAATTCCAGAGTGATGCAAACACATGTTGGGGCTTGCCCTGCAGCCTTTGTGACCACATCACGCCCTAACAGCGGACTCAATGATCTGTTGGCCTGGCAATCTGCCTCCAAGACGTCATTCGCCCGGCGGACGAAGGCCAAGGTGAAGGCAACTCCGCCACTCATCGGCACCAACAGCTGCGTACAGGCTAGCAGACCTGCACCATGCACCCACAGCTGCACTGCCATGATCACGACCTGCACGGAGCCAAACAGGTAGCAGCCACTCGTCAGCAGACCCAGAACAGCCCCCCGAACCCGCTTCTTCTGCGTGAGCAACTGGACACCCGTCCAAACTGAAAGCGGGCTGGCCAGCAACAAATCTGCAAAAGGGACCAGCACGCACCCGCCTGCGTGGGGGCACCACACCCAGCCCTTGCCCCAATCATAAGCACCGCTCACACCCGCAAATACCCCCATACAAACAAAGATCCAGGCAAAGGTTGATTGCTTGTCCATGGCCATTCTACCGCGCATGTCTTGCAGGTAGGTAAGTTTAGGTAAGTGTCAACCTGTACCAATCGCCCGTGCTGGCCATTAGACCCACTACATTGCCAAGGCAAATAACAGGATTTGGCAGGCGTCAAACAGCAAACACACGCAAACACTTAGCAAAAAGCCTCCCGTGGCTGCAGTCAAGCACGCAGGCTGCCAAATCTCCATGAGTCCAGAATCTGAACAGAGCCTTACCATGAGCGTTTGTATCGCAAAGCTTGAAAATTCGGAGTAAGCTACCTGTATAATCAATTTGCATAAGCCCTTGCCTGCTTCTACATATTCAGGCTGCAATTCATTGATATCGGAGAGACTTCAAGTCTACGGAGGCCCTCAGAAAAAAACCGTGAGCCAACCTGCAAGTTTTTTGAGTGTAGCTTGTCAAATAAGGTTCAGGGATGGAAAAGGAAATGGCAATTGCCATAAGTTGAGGGTTTGAAGAACTTTTTGGCCCAAGTGCCAACCTGCCCAAGATTTCCATCAGGAATGCCCAGTAGTTATACTCGCACCCTGGACGGCAATGCCTGGGAACCTCCTTCCTTTATTCGGGGAGCCGCTATACTACCAAAAGAGATGTGGAAGTTCGAAAAACCCCTGTACTTCCTCAGCTGCTTTCTTCCCGGATGCCACTGGCTGGGATCAGGGTGGGCTCCCCAACTGCAACATCACAGGCTGCGAACTCTGGCAAGTGGTACACTTCCTGAGTCAAAAGCACTGGGCCTTGAGTTGGGAACCCAGAATGCGAAATCATTATGAGACAGTCTCGAAGTGCAATCCACAAGGACAGTGTGCAAGGAAGGCGTGACAACTGATGCATGAGTAGCCTTTCTTGGAGAAACAACGGCATTTCGTTCGGTTCCACTGAATGGCCTTTTGCCTTTTGGAGTCGGCTTCAGGTTTCAGACACGATCTTGTGTACGTCTGTGGACATTTCGTACAACTATCCAGTGGCATTTTTTGAGGGCTTGGGAAATGCCAGCACACATGACATTGCACGTGATTGCAAGTCAGAAAAACATCTGGAAGGCTATGGGATGAAGCAGGACAAGACCACGCTGGACAGAAATTGAGAACACTTATACCCGGTAGAGGACAGTCCAATGGCTTCGAACTTGAGAAATTTGGGGTTCTGTCCCATGCTGGGTAGCTCGATGAATCAACATTACCGAAGCTCTCAGCGGCAATTATCCTCAAGCTCAAACCCCTAAATGAACCAAGTTTCCACTTAAGTTCCAATTGTCGTTCCCATTTGGTTCTCCGTTACTGGGCTGTTAATATCCCTATACAACTCCTACATAACTGTACCCCAATCCCCTTTGTATGCCCCTGTACTAAACCCTGAACCCCAGGCCGAGTGTCATCTTTGCTCTTCCCAGGCGCCAAGGACAAGGACCCTGCAGTCCAGAGCCAGGGACCACTGCCTTTGTGAACGTCGAACGTTTGAAGAACAATGGAAACATGAAGTAATACTTGCTACAGCCAGCTTTGGAACTCTAAGTTTTATATAAGTCATGGTATTGGAGGGGCTTTCAATCTGGATGCGCTAGTCCCTAGGAGTCAGCATGCCAACGCACGGCGGCAGACGACAAAAGGAACAAACAGTAAAGCGTGAAGTAGTTTCAAAGGGCCGCCCCTCCACCACTACTTGGAGGCCCATGCGACTTAGTAACCACTTATAACTGGGCTTATAACCCAACTTATAAGCCCCTAAACGGGCTTATAGGGGTTACCCCGAATATAGGTGGGGTAATAACCCAGTTATAAGTAATTAGTAAATCCCACGGGCCTCCAAGTATCCTAGAACCTACCGGCCTCAAGCCCCAGAAACCCCAACCCCAACCGGAAAGCCGCCATGTGATCGGTGGCCTCCACATAAACCGGTGGCTCCAGTATGGTCCCCAGTATACTGTGACGAAGAGGCCGCTAATTCCGAAAATCCCTAGACCCTATACCCAAAACCCTAAATCCCTAAACCCTAAACCTAAAACCCCTAAACCCTAAACGCTAAACCCCTAAACCCCTAAACCTCAAACCCTAATCCCTAAACCCGAAATCCGAGCTCAGGTGCTAGGACAGCACGCCAAGGCTCCCTGCGGGGTGTTAGACAGCGCCTTAGGCTGCAAGGATGTTCTGTAGGGTTTAGGGTTTAGGGTTTAGGGTTAGGGGGATCATGGAAAAGAGCAAGGGAGCTACTGTTTCAGGTCTAGGGTCTAGGAAGATTATGCCCCAATTCTAGAGTACCACCGACTGGCACATGAAAGCAAAACTTGGTCACATAGGGTTTATAGGCGTTATGGAATGAAGGGGCCTATGACCTAAATGATTGTCATGAATACAAGTTTGAGGTCCATTCGAGGTACCTTGTACCAGGAATCTAGAGCCATAATATTGGTAGTCATTTAGGCCTCTACATTATTCTGCTTTGGGCTTCTCCTTCATAGCGGAAGTGATCATCATACCAGTAATGTGCACAGTGACATGGTCAATGCTTACAACCAATGACGAGAAGAGAGAACCATAAAAATCATGGGAAATGCGGTGGCCATGACAGTTGCCGCACTTTGGCATCATGGTTTGTAGAAGCTGCCCCCTAAGCAGCAAGCTCGCCACCACGTTGTTGACTTTCGTAACGTGTCCCCAGCATCCCATGCTTTCCTTGGGGAACGAGTTGAGTACATATAAACCACTTAACCATATCTAGCCAAACCTGCGCTTGTCAGTTCATAGGTTATGAATATCCTAAACCTTAACAAGCCTAGCTACGGGACATTCCTCGCACTGGCTAAGGCCGCTCGCCCGGGACACCGATCCCGGTGAACAGACCTGGCAAGAGGGGAGGGGGCTAGGTAGGACTGTTACCTGGGGATTGGGCTTAGGGTGTAGGGTTTAAGATAATGTCTTCTAATTGCTAAGCCAAGCCCCAGGTATAAACGGATTATAGGTAGCGTCCTGCAGTCTCTCGTAAATTCTACAACTTAGGGCGTAGGGTAATTCAGTTTGGGATGTCAGGGGGTACTGAGTCGGAGGTTCAGGCGCGCTGGGGGTTTAAGGACTCCAGGATTATATAGGGGTAATGTTAGGGCTACATTGGGGCTATATTGGGATAGTGCAAAATGGGGCTTAGGGTTTCCCAGGGTTTAGGAGGGTTCCAGGCATCAGGGCTCAGGAAAGAATGTGGGGTGGAATGGCTGGCAGGACTTTGGCGCAGAGCTTTCAAAACAACACCACGAACGCTGATGCGCAAAAAATAACACATGACATGGAGCCCGAAATGGTGGATCCCGGAAACCACGAGATTCTGTGTTCTCGGTGCCCCCCGAAGAGGAACTAGAGGCGGAGTCTAGGCCGATCTGGGCTTCGGCTGCACAAAGTCAAGAAGATTTGAGTGCCGAACATCGGGAATCAAAGAAATGGGTATCCTTTGGGCATCCAAATATAGCCCCAATATAATCCCAACTTTGTAGTAGTTTCCATGTTCTATTGCATTATCCCTAAATAGCCCCGATATAACCCCAACATTGGCAGCTTGAGTAGGGAAGCCTCGGAGTCCTCCGGCAGAAGATAGGCTCTGGGGGGATGCACAAGGAAAACATCCCATAGGTTCCCCAGTTTCCGCAATCAATCTACTTGAGCATCACGAAAGCGACTATGACAGAGACCCCTGTACCTAAATGTGTCTTTATACATATATATATATAGATATGGGGTCTGTAAATGATATATCGTTAGATTGCCCTAAACAATCCAGAATCGAATGCGACATGAAGTGGAAACTGGGATTATCGTAACCCACCTCGCACTGCGAAAGTCCAGGCTGTTTGCCGATTGTGCCCGCTGGGCAGTCCACACAGTCGCTGGCTGCCTGGATTTTTGCAAGATGGGGTAGGCTGCACCTGAAAAACTCTACCCCAAAACGAAACTTGATTCTCCTAGGGAAAGGGAGGGAGGAAATCTTGTACCATCTAGTATCCCCACAGTACTGTGGTGGCTGATATTCGGGCTGTATAGATTTGCGCAAGATTTCCTCCGTCCACCGCGTCTTGGAAGTTAGGACCACCAATGGATACCCAGCTGCTGTGCCGCCTTCTTGGTTGAGGAACTTCCCAAGAGGACAGCTCTTGCCTGCGGAATAGCACAAAAGGCAGCAATGAATATGGAGTGGGTTCAATCTCGAAAAGCACCGGCCAAAAAGACCCACATACTACCTACGCATGATGGCTACATGTGTTCCAGAGGCAGTACCACTCAGCACAACATCTAGTCAGGCTTAAAATCCAAAGGCTCATCGCTCAGCGCTTCCTGAAAAATCTATGGCTGAATCATTGGGCGGACCGTGCAAAGCTTCATCGAATTCAACTCTCGCAAACCCTCCATGGCTCATGTGAATGTTGCGACAGTGCGAGTTTATACTGTTTATACAACCTCTCAAGCTCAGTTGCAGCTTGTTGAAGGCGTGCTAAGATCGTCGTTGAAGGTTCCCTTGCCCTTGGCAGAGTCCAACACATCTCAGCTGAGACGATGACAGGTTGGGTCCTGACTGTAGCACTACGACCGCATGCAGAAAGAGACGAATACAATCCGAAAGACTACACTTCTGCTAGCAGCACCTCCACTAGGACTTTAATTGTCGTTTTTCTAGGTTGCATGTTCTTTGCAGCGAATGCATTCCCTGCACACATGCAGGGCCGGCACTTGCTTTCTGATGTCTTCTCTTGGTATCCATCGATGAGAACTAGGAATGGTATTTTGAATTCAAGGGAATCACTCCAGGACAAGACCTGAAC